CCTCTACAGTTGAAAATATGGATAGTCTTATTTCTTCATCTACTTGATGCTTCTTGCCTGTGCTGGAATGTAACAGAACATTGGATTCCTGTTTTTATATGCATAGAAACCTGTGTGTGCCTGTAATTTGTGGAAGGAAGATTTCCATATTGAAAACACCCCTGGATAGATATTATCTTTCTCTTTATCATTACCCAATCATTCCTTCTTCTCAATGTGCTTGTTTTCAAATTGAGTTCTATGGAATGATAAAAGTGGACAAACTCTGCTGTTACAAATCTTTCCCTGAGCTTATGGTGAATTAACAGGTGCATGTGTCCCTTTTAGAGTTAGTAAAGAGTTTATGTATATTCTTGTTGCTCTACTGCATCTAGAATATGTTGTACATGTGATTGTACAAGAAAGAAGAAACTGGCCCTCATTCTAAACAGCAGCAGCTGCCTCCTCTCTTCTTACCCTTTTTGAGCAATATCTTTCAGCCTTTTCCTTTACCCCATTTAAAAAAAAAAAAGAAACTTCAATCCTCAAAAGATTTTCAAAAAACAGTTCCTAATCAGATGTTCTCTCAGCACCTATGAAGTGAGGGAAATCCCACCCTCAAGAGCAGAGGCCCAGACTACATGATTCAAAAATTCACCCCTTAAAAGGTAGAGGAAAGGAGTCAAACATGTCATCCAAGACCACCTCCCTTCCCTTTCCCTTTATGCCTACATGGGCCATTTACCTCACTGCTGCTGGGGGATTTTTTTCTTCTCATCCTGGGCATCAGGTACTCTCTTGCCCCCTTCACTTGATTGTATACATTTTTAAAAAATCAAATTAAAAAAAAAATTAGGAAGCTGGAATGGTGAAAAGTGTTTCCAGCATCATTCTTATTTTCAAGACTTCCTGAGTCCCAACAAGCTTTCTTAGACAATAAAAATGATGGATGGTTAGAGACCAGTGCTTTGGTTGAAAGTCTCTCAAAAAAAGACAAATGTAAGGAGGGATGGTAAAGAGTATCCTGCAGGAGGGCTACATGGAGTGGAAAGAAACATTCTAGTATACCATGGTTTGTGATTGATCGCATTGCTTATTGCAGCCATCTTATGAATGACCAAGCTTTCCCATGGCAGACGTTTGTGAAAGGATCAGTGGCATCATCTCAAAAATATATGTATGTCCTCTAGTCAACAAAATTGGGACCCTTGTCTTACCTAAAGAATCACTTCAGTCCATAATGCATTGTATTATTCCAGAAGCACATAATATATTTTCTCATTTGTGTTTGAAAGTAAATGTATTGCCTAGTACAAATTCATCTTTCTTAGTTGTTTTGTACTATTGCATAAATAGAATTAGTTTGTTTGATAGTTTAATTTCTAAGTCAGCAAAGCTCGATATATTTGGCATAAAAACAGCATTAAAAGGCGTTCCCTTAAACTGACATACAACTTGTTTTATTTCCTTCTGAAATGGAATATTTCCACATAAAAAAACTGCCAATCGCTTTTTCAGGATGAAGAAACTCGTAAGGATTATGATTATATGCTGGATCATCCTGAGGAGTATTACAGCCATTACTATCACTATTATTCTAGAAGATTGGCACCCAAGGTGGATGTCAGAATAGTGATTCTTGTCACTGTTTGTGCCATTTCTGTATTTCAAGTAAGTATGCTTGTCTCCTACCTGTTCCAGTATTCTCCTCTAACCTGGATGTGTTGCGGTATTGAATCTAGAATTCCACTTGCGTTGGAGGGCGGAGGTGGGGAAATCCCTTCTCTCTGCAGCCCACTGTGTGGAGAGACTGCGTGGGGAAGATGGAATTGATTCCTTCCCCCTCCATGCCACAGCTCAGTAGGCCTAGGTTAGTGTGCTAAGTGCTTTTTTCCCTTTGTGTAAATTGCAAATAATAAAGCTTGTAAAATGATTGTTAAGCATTGCTCTTGTGCAAATTTTCTTTGGTTGAGGCACAGTACATAAGTTGTTATGTATACTTGCCACATGCTTGCCACATAGTGGGAGTTACGTTATTTATTGATATTGAATTTGAATACTATGTTTCATAAAGCCACAGAGTAGTTTACATATTTGTTTTTGTTTTTTGTTTGTCATGACATGATTATACATCAAAGTTTGCATACATGTTTGCATAAAAAGAGATTGTGACAAAAATACAAGCAGGTAGCGCATGGAAATAATGCATTTGGATCTCTTAAAAATGGCATGTCATGATTCATAAGCCTGAATACACAGGAGCTGCAGAATTTCAGAAAAAAGGAAATAAAGTTGTACCGATGCAGAAAAAATAAAGCACATTTGATAAAGTGAATTTTATATTTAGCCTAAGTAGCATAGGAAAAATAAATGTTAAAGTATTCTCTAAAGTTAAAAAGGTATGTAAATTTGATCTTGCCATTTCATATTCTAGTTCTTTAGTTGGTGGAGTAGCTACAATGAAGCTATCAACTACCTAGCAACTGTGCCAAAATATCGTATACAAGCTACTGAGATTGCCAGGCAACAGGGGCTATTGAACAGAGCCAAAGAAAAAGGCAAAAGCAGACGATCCAAGGAAGAAATCCGCAAGGAAGAAGAAGAAATAATCAAGGATATAATAAAAAACAAAATAGATATCAAGGGTGGCTACCAGAAACCCCAAATCTATGACATTCTCTTGTTTCAAATTATTTTAGCTCCTTTTTATCTGTGCAAGTACATAGCATGGTATTTTTGGTGGATTTATTGTTTCAATATCAAAAGGCAAGAGTATGGCGAAGAAGAGAAATTGTACATCATACGCAAATACATGAAAATGTCACAATCTCAATTTGACACTTTGGAAGATCACCAGAAAGAGTCTTTTCTTGAACGGCAGCTTTGGATAAGAGAAAATTATGAGGTGAGTGATGGTGGTGCAAGAGAAGTAAAGCCCCCAAACTGTTCTGATTTCTGTAATCTAGGGCTATTGGATAACTATAAAGATTGTTTTTGCAATCTCACAGCATTGGTTTCGTGCATTGGATCCTAAGCATCCCTTGTACCACTCAGATCTCATAGAAAGATTGCTCAAATTTCACCCACAAGTTGCCATACACAAACTTTTTATTTATAACCTGGGTGAATGGATAATTATCAGTAGATCTATACTAGGGGTTGGTGTTTTATCATCCACAGTGCAATTGTTACCTGGGTTTAGCAGCTGAGGCGCAACAGATAATCTGTCCTACTTTTCATTGGTGTGGGTGTTGTAAAACAGTATGTCACTTTCTCTAGATAATAGATGCATAGTCACTACAGTTTCATAAGCTACATTTTTGTTCATTTCTATAATATCTAGTTAATAGAATAGATAGATTTCTAGTGTGAGATTTTTTTTTTAAAGATGTTTAGTCTGCTTAGTACTACTCACTATTTATAAACACAAAATGGTGGTTCAGGAGGCAAAGCCAATTATCTACTTCAGGGGTACAAAAAAGGGCAGCCCAGCAGTTGCACATACAGGTAGTTCTCGTTTATCAGCCACAATTGGGATTGGGAACTCAGTTGTTAAGTGAAGCAGTCGCTAAGTGAAACCACAACTGTGCTTATGATCTTCCTTCAGTTTTCCTTTGCTTTATAGACCTGAAAAGGTCATAAATACAAGGATTGGTTGCAAAGTTACTTTTTCATCACTGTTGTAACTGTGAACAGTCACTAAACAAGGCATTCACTAAATGAGGACTACCTGTAGTCCATCAGAAAGAGTTTCATGAGCTTCTCCCAAGTGAGTGGGGTCTTGGGGAGGAGAGGTTTGAAAGACCATAATGGTTGCTTTAAAAATAACAATATCACCTCTTAAAAGTCCTGAACCCACTTCCATGGACCCCACCCAGCTCATTTTTTAGAGTGCAGCTCTCAATGTGCCATTCAATGGTCCTCAACCTAATGTGCTCCTCAGGCTGATAAAAGTTGCACACCCACGATATACTCCATCCCGTGAACTGTTCTTTGGCATGTACACACCAAATTGCATATGACTTGCTGATAAGTGATTCCCATACGGTATTCTAGACTCACTGGCAAAGTTGAACAGCCACGGTCACAATCAGCTACATTATTTGTCTGTATTATAGTTGAACAAAACTGAGGTTGAGAAAAAACAATTTCGTATAATAGCAGCCTTTGCATGGTGGGGGGGGCGGATGTTATCCATCAATTTTATTTGCTTTTGCTTAAACGACTAGGAAATAAATACTTGGAGATTTCCTGCCGATCACTGAAAGACCCGCCAGTAGATCACAGTCTACCTTTTGCCTATCCCTGCTTTAACCTTGTGGTTTTAATGTTCTCCTTGCCTCCTCCAACTCTTCAGTTCTAGAACCAGTTTTTCACATAGAGTTATGCAATTCGCAATAATCTATTTGAAATACCTAATTTTACATGGATGAGTCTGCATGTGAGATTGCTGTGTCCGCACTGAAATTTGCAAGGAGTCTGTGCAAGACTGCATTGCAGGCTGATGTTGCTTTCATTAAAATCTTCCCTTCTTTTTAGCTTTACAAACAGGAGCAAGAGGAAGAGCTGAAGAAAAAAATGGCGATGGACCCTCGATGGAAAAGATACCGGCGATGGATGAGGAATGAAGGACCTGGAAGATTGACATTTATCGATGATTGACATGTGCAAAACACGTACAATCGTGTCACAGATGATTGACAAAATTATTCATATCTAAAATGTTCAGAGTTTAACTGCTGTGTTTCAGCGGTGTCCTAAAACTCAGGAATTAATCAGGCAGAAAACTAGTAACATTTTATGTTTTTTATGTATATGTATAAAAATAAAAGTAAATATGTTAAATATACATCATTGTTTTGTTCCACTCATGATCTGGTATGGAATTAAAACTCTCTGAGGCAGATTCATTAATTCCTTTATACTATTATTATAATAAGCACGTAGGTATGACCTACAAATACTGAATTTAGGCAGTGAACAAATCTTGGAAGGTTTGTAACATATGCCATGATGCAACTGTCTCTGGTTTTCCTCTGTATAAACTTATTTATTTAAAACATTTCTATAGCCACCCTTCTTAAAGCTAAGCTCTGGGCATCTTATAATCCAAAAGTAAAACAATACATACTACAATAAAAACACAAGAACCAGTAAAACCAAGAAAAAGAAAAATCTGGTGCCACAACCACCCTTCCCTGATGTCACTCGCTACATTCTCAACCCACTCTGACCTCACCCTATCCCAACACTTGGAGGAATCCTTGTTCATCCTTGTTTATAAATCAGAACAATTTGTTTTTTATTTTCATTTTTATTTATTTTTAAAAAATTGAAAGCTAATAACAGGTTCCTATATCGGGCAGTTTGAGCTAGCAAAGACAAATTTCCAGTAAGAGCAGGAAGAGAAGTTTTGGCAAGCATCTGCTATAATTTCAACACAAAGCATTAGATAGGGATACTTGTACAGTGACAATACTCAGCATTATTTCAACAAACCATTTGGCTAAATCTACATAAGACAACTTAGATGTTAGTGGAGTATGCTTGATCTCTTCTATAGTCCTGAAGTTTTTAAAAATCTCAAATGTATATAGTGCTTCTGAAACAGGATTTCTACTGCTGAAAAAAAGAATTTTAGTATAACTCTTAAGCTGTGAGAATCCAAGCTGCCTTTATTAACAGCTGGTGTGTGTTGGGTTGATGATGAAATGCTTCTACCTTACATTGTTCAAATTCCAGCTCCTTTGGTTGAACTTATATATATTCCAATAAGTATTAAAATAAGACGGCCTTCAAATGCAGCAGTTATCAAGTCCTGGAATCTGAAATGCATTAGCTCTCTCATGTACAAAGCTTTTATATTTATTCATTAGGGGACGCTCCAGTGTGACAAGGGAGAAGTCAATTTATGTAGCATAAAACAATGAATCCATCCGTGCTGCTTTGGAAGCATTTCTCCAGATAAATGCTAGTATAAAGACCATCTAAGCTGACATTATGAATATCTGACAAAGCATAATTTTAAATGTAAACAGGCAAAACAGGATCATTATCTCATATTAGCATTCCCCCTCCTGGTGCCCAGTTGTGTTTAATTACAGTTCCCATTATCCCCAGCCAGGCAGAGTTTCTGGATATTTTTTTCCAATTAATGAAACTGGGAGGAGGAGGAGGAGGAGAGGGAAATGGATAGGGCAGCTGTCAGCCCCCCTAGGCAGACCAAACCAAGACACAACACAGGAAGGCTAAGCCTGCTTTTATAAAGACAGGCTGTAATAGTGGAATCTTGTGAGTCAGATTGCATGGTCCCCATCCCTCCTTCTGCTGCTTATGGTTCGCTGAACCAGGGTGGTGTCAGCCTGAGGTGCTTCCTTATGTTACCGTGTTTCTCTGGACTGGAAAAATGGTTCTGCCCCCTTTGCCTAAGTTCTTGTCAAGGTCATCTTCCATATTCTCTACAGTGGCAGGCAAGAACATACTACACTTGGAGTAGTGTGGAAGAACCTTCCTTAATGCTTGAATGATTCTCAGACCAGATGAGGATTTCCTCAGATACGAACAGGCACTCTTAAGTACTGCATTGTAAAATGTCTCTAAGCTTTCCTGTTATTCATTGGTTTTGGAGCGTTTCCCTAGTTACATACCTTGTTTTGTGAACTCGCGAGGCATTTTTACAATCTTCCACCTACAGTGCTAAGAACAGAAGATTTGTTTCATTCAGATAGGCTTGATCTAAAGTAGTGAGTAATTTTACAACCTCAAATCCATTTGAGTTTTATATAAGTTATTCTGCTCAGAAGTGTAAAATGGGTGCTTCAAGAACCTGGCACCACAAGCCCTGGGTAACCGTATCTAAACCAGGAGATTCAACTGCTGCTGGTGTACCAAGATGGGATCTAGAGGTAGCCAGATTTGGAACAGAGTAAATGACTGCCACTTTAATTCTTTTGATAAAATAATAACTAAATGCCTCTAAACTTAAATATTCTGAGCATTTTGTTTCTATCATGGTAAGCTGCAGCTTCTTCACCAATATGACCGGTAGAACTTCTTGCAGAAAAGGTTACAAACCACAGTTCTAGGTTACATGTTTAAATCAAGTTAGAAAGTCTTTCCCCAAGAAACATGAGTGTTAAATAACATTTTATTTTAGAGAAGGTCTGTAAGGCAAAACGTCTAGGTCCCTCTTCAGAAAACTATTGTTGGAATTCTTTGCATTGTGAGTCTAACTATGTTTACTCAGAAATAAATTATGCCACATTCCATGGGACTTACTCCATGTCCCAATAAGTGTGCCACCCATGCTACATCAAAGCAAGCTCATTTAGACTCTTGTTAGAAACTCATTTCACTTTGCGAAATGGCTTCATCAAGAAATGTAGCCTGATTTATTTGCAGTCATCTCAGCCAAAAGATGGACTTTGGGACTCACTCTCACTCATATCTGAGCTGCCAATGTCTATATTAGGGTGTTTCATCAGGTCTGGCAGAGGAGGCATACTGCAGATCCCATCTGGTAGAGAATTACATTTGGTGGGTCCCAGGAGGCGGGCCTTCTCTGCTGTGGCACCCGGCTTGTGGAATCTTCTCCCCCTGGAAGTGAGATTAGCTCCATCCCTCTTAACATTCTGCAAGTCCCTCAAGACCTGGCTATGGGGTCAGGCCTGGGGCTTCCACGGGATGGGGGAGATTTTGTGATCGATAACATTAATATTATCCCCTCCTGTTGTGTGTGCTTTTTATAGTTTTTTACTTGTAATTGTTTTTATGTATTTATTCTTTTTAATTGTCGTACACTGCCCAGAGTCACTTTATGTGAGATGGGCGGCTGTATAAATGCGAGAAATGATAAACATTATAGATGAATTATTTTCTAAAGGGGAAAGTAGTTGTAAGAATCACAGATGCTTTGTGATGTTCACCTAGCTTGATTCCCTCCAGTCTCCTGCCTCCAGCCCCTTCCTATTTTCACTCTTCAGTTTCAGCTTCAGTAAGATAGAGCAGATGACTCTTCCGTGTACATATGTGTACGTGATGCTGACTCTTCTCTCCTGGTTGTGAAGCCCAGGAAGATGGTGCTGAATTGTTCGTGGTCTTGCTAGAATGAAAGCTTTTTCTTAAGGAGTGCATCCTGCGCTTAGGTCTTCCAAGAATCCATTCTACTCCAAACCTCATATTAAAGATACGTCTGCAATGACTGTTTTGCCGAGCAAGACAGGTTATTGACATTAGACATAATGTGAATGATAAATGCCTTAATAATATAATAATAGCAAGTTCAGAGCCAAGGTGGAGATCTCCCTTTTCCTCTTCCTCTCCCCTCTGAGCAATTGTCTGAAAGAGGAAGTTTGTACAGCTCTTGGGGTGAGCAGTAGAAAAGGAGGGACAGGTCTCTCTTCTCCTATATGGAAAAGATTCTTTTATGCCATATAGAAAAATGGGAACTGGACATTTTCCCCCCTCCCCTTCCCTATTGCATGGGTAGGGCCTCTACTATCATACATATTTCTTTTATTTATACTATGTAAAAAAAAAAAGAGAGAGAAAGCAGAGACAAGGCCATGGGGGAGGGGAGCTATCCATCAAGAGAAGAATGATCTCTGTCCCAGTAATAAATATCATAGCCTCACATGTCATAAAATTAAAGACTTGTTCACAGAAGTAGTTTTTAATCACAGTGCTAGACAATTCTTCATGGCTTGTTTGGGATCTGATTTATGCCCTGCTTAAAAAAACTACCCACCTATATAACCCCTGAGGTTACAAAGTGGTGTTAGCTGCTTATGTCATGCAAACCTCTTTGGGGACTGAGGAGCGACAGATCACGGTCGCCTGCGCTTCTGCTATTTGGATGACGAAAGTCAAAACATTCCACTGGCTATGCCAAAGATCCTGGAAAATTGAAAGCTCTTTCAAGCGTTGCTTTGGATATCAGCCACTGTTTCTCAACATTGCCTGGCTCTTGGTGTGCAGGCTAAGACATTCCGCAAAATAGTCATCAACCTTGGAGGATGTTTGCTTTTCTTTAAAACCCTAGCTTTCTTTAAGCAGCAAATATAGAACTGTCTCAAACGGTTCCTTATCATCTGTATTCAGAGTCTAGTTACTGTGAAATTGTTGGCTTTGGTGCATGGAATGCAAATGCAGAAGTGGAAAAAACCCACACTTACACGATGAAGACTTGTAGTTTCTTTAATTACCATCTTTGTAGACAGTATTTCTCGAAAGCGTAAATGAAAAGATCCAACAGATGCTAAGTATTAGGGTTGCTTTTTGCTTTTTTTTCCTCACCCAATGTGGCAGAAGTAAAATAAAAACATGACAGCATTTATTTATTAATATGGAAATGTTAGTAGCAGATTATTCTCAAGGTGAGAAACTGGCTAAGCGATAAAGACTTGTAGTTTGGTTAATTACTGCATCTTGCAGACAGAATATTCCTTGAAAATGTAGGCAGAAAGATCATTTGAAGGGATGCAGAAAATGGAGTTCCTTCCCATCGAATTTGGAAGGGTATGAATCCACTGGAGTTGGGCAGCCAATTAATTTAAATAATAATAATAATAATAATTTTATTATTATTATTATTCTTTTTCACCTGCCCTGAGGAAACTGATTTTTTATTGTTAATTGCTGTTAATTCAGCTCCTCCCTGATTAAATGACACATTCTTCTCTTCATCACAATATGTCAATTGTGGCAGTAAAATAGGGAGAGATGCTCTCAAGTCAAACCCATTAATGGGCAGGAAAGGCTTGACTATGGGTCCATACGTTGTTATTGCAAAGAACAGTAGACCAAGGGCCGACCAGCTGATTTGGGCTCACCTTGGTATTTGCCTAAATGTGTCAGGAGACGTAAGGCTCAGATGTGACATGACCAAGGCAGATACATGCC